TTTTCATTACCTTTTTTGCCATGAAAAATAGGAGATTACTCTGCAATGGGTGACAAGTGATCTTGGGTTCTGGACTTACTGTACCAGTGGATGGTAGCCATTGTTGTTTGGCTTTTTTTTTAAATGCAGATTTTAAAAAAATGCTGTTTACTGGTGGGTTTTTTGGCCTATGATTAGTCTTTTCTGCCAAATCTTTGCATGGAGAACTTTTTTGAAAAACCATCTTATGCTTTTCACTGGATTTGTGATTTATGTCTCCTTTTCCTTGGACTGGCACAATATTCTCTTCTTCATATTGTTCATTCCAATATATACTAATTTAGGAAATGTGTCATTTTTAGCAACATACAGCAAAAAATGCCACTGAAATTTCTTCCAGATTTGCTACTAGTATCATTCTCTCTTTTGCAGAGTTTGGGTTGTGTGTTTGCTTGTGAGCTTCGCTCTATGCCATGGCTTGAAATAGTCGAGCAATACTAAAGAATTTCACAACTATTAAGGATCCTTTAAAAATGTCATTTCAACCTTTAGACTAGGAGGAAATTTGGGACTAGAATAAACCTAAAACTGTTCCAAACTTTTATAGTGGTACCCGTGAGTTACAATCAGAGTTTCTAAAGACCTGCAGAGGAGTATGTTTGATTTGATTTATGTTGGATATTGCATAAAAATCTTCCAAATAAAATTAAATCCTCAACCATGCAGAGAAGAGCTACCCGATTGTTATAGCATGCTGTGTTAGAGCATTGTGTGTTTTCTGTTTTGATCTTGAGTTGCTGGCTATGTGGGGTTGAACTATTAGATCTTAAACTGTCAAAAATACGAGTTGCTGACAGTGTATTGGTCAAGAAGCATTGTGGGTATTTGTTAGGGACATGAGTGCTCATCCTCCTTTTCTGTCAGGCAGAGGGCAGTAAGGACTTTTGTGGGTTTGGCAGAGTGTTTTGCCCTTGGACAGAAAATTCTGGAAAAGCTTGGGGGTTGTTGTATTCTTTTATATAGTAATAATAATTTTAGATGTTAGACTTGAAAATTTTCAGCCGACCTTTCTGAGGAAAAACCTACTAGTATGGACCTACTAGTGGGATCTCATTTGGGGTGGCTGTTGGCATAGTGATTGTGGGTTTAAAAATAAAAGATTTATCATATATCCTGGTGTATCAGTAAGTGAAGTAACAATAATGATGTAAAAGGTCTTTTCTCTCTTCAGTTTGGACTGTAAGCATCCATCAGTCTGGGTTTTGGCTCGTTGCATGTTTGTGCACCAGTATTTGAGTTTCAGAATTCATATGGTTATATATATTTGTTTATACATAGTTACCTCTTTTGGAATTTAAAAAAATATAGAAAAACCCAAATAAAATGTGATTAAATAAGTATTAGATATTTAATAGTAAATAATATAGATGTTAATAATAATTTAGGAAATGTTAGGGGCAAGCGTGGCTTTTATTCTGCTTACTTTAATGTGTGTAAATTTGAGTTAGTTCTGAAGTAGATTTATCAAGCGTTCAGTGGGGTTTTGAAGTTGTATGAATTGTCAGGTCTGAATTTTCCTAAACATTTGGAAGTTACACAGAATCAAAATGCAGTTTTCCAGAGGGTTACCTAAAAACATGTTTTCAGCAACTGTACAATCAGCATAGCATTCCTTCCCCGTCAACTTGCCTGTCAGTAATCATTATCTTCTCTAAAATAAGCAAAACAAACAAACAAAAAAATCAATGCTTGTAGCCTATTTCTTTGGGGCCACCCATATTGCAGAGTTTGTGTTTCTGTCCTAGCGAATGCTGTGCCTGGATGCCCTTTTTCACTGTGAGGGGGCATGGAAATCTGAGTGCAGAGCCGTCAGACAGTGGCACAGTTTAACTCTGCGGAACACAAAATCTTGTGTGACACTTTTCTCTCTTGCAGTGCTTCACTGACAAGTATTCTTTGCATCATTGACCTTAGTAGTAGGGCTTTGCCTAGGAATAATTATTGACATCTTCATCAATTGTTTGCTAGACCAGGATGCTGTCATTAGAATGTACATTAAATACATCATAAATGGATGTGAAATTATATGGTGTTTTGTACAAAACAGTTTTCCTGTAGTGAGTTAATTTTGGCTGATGCTGAGAACTCCGAATGGAAAAAAAATTCAAGTGAAATATTCATTGAGCCAGATTCTAATTAACTTTTCAATATTTGATATTTACTGAGCTGGTGAAGATGCTTCCTATTAAGGAGTTGAAATGAGGTGGAGAGAAAGGTGCAAGTGAAGCCCTGAACTCTTGCAGTTTGGATGTAGTTTGAATGAATTTAGTATTTGTTTGTGCCAGGAGAAGCATATGCTGCGTAAAATTATTTTGGTTTAATTGAAATGTGTGTAGTGAATGTAATTGTTGCAGTTAAAATGTTATGAAAGATTTTTAATACAGTGGCTTAGTGGGCAGGTTGGATAGCTCAGGAAGACCTTGCAGGTGGGTATCACAGGGATCAAAGAGTACACTTTGTCGCAGCTGGAGGTCAGAACCTGGTTTTTGGGACAGAATCTAAAATGTTGAGCTTTTTTCAACTTCTAAAATACAACTTTTGATGAAGGTGTCCAGCTTCTCCATTGCTTTGGTTATAATCTGTGCATCCATGTGCAGTAAATGATGTGGCCAATCATCTATCTTCCTTGCAGAAGGAGTTAATCTAAAATCCCAGAACAGAGGTAAAATCTGTGTGTCTATAAAGTGACGAGTCTAATTTATCTCTGAATTTCTTTGCAAAATGGTATTTTTTGGGGATGCTTATTGCAATTTCTGAGTTGCCGTTACGCTCATTTTTTTTAAAGTTGGCTTTTTGTATATATCTTTAAAACATAATTTAATCTGATTATATTAAATAGTAGTGTATTTATGTGCTAACATGATCATCTTTTAAATACATCATGTGTCAAATTTGAGGTCAACTCTGCATTTTGTGATACCTTAATGCATGATCTTCTGGAACCAATAACCTAATCGTAGCTGTGGCTCACAATAAACACAAAGCTATATTTAATGTTGCAGTAATTGAAATAAAACTGGTTGATGTTTTCCTCAAATCCAGATATTATGGGGATAATGTTGAAGTATAGTTTTAAATTGGAAGCTTCGTCTGACGTGTTTCTTGTCTGTTGTACGTCCAGGGTAGAAGGGCAGGTTTTTAATTGAGCTGGAGTCTAGCTGTCAGGTCTAACACTGTTACTTACTGCAAAACAAGGTTCTCACCCTCTCCTCCTCCATTTCCTTGTTTCACAACATTGAAAGCCAGCTCTGAAGGGAATAAGGCTGTTTTTCCGAGAACAGATCAAATGAAGGTCTCCCTTTATGGTATATAGGTTATGGCACACATTTCTCAGTGCAAATGTCTTTGCTGGTAGTGAATGTTTTTACAGAATGGATCGGGGTGTCTTACTGCTGCAAGCCTCTGGTAGCAACAAGGCCATACTCCTGCTGTTAGGGCGCAAACGTTATTTATCATGTGAAGTTGTAGAAAGTTTTTTCTTTAATGACTTAGAGTTGTTTTGTTTTCATTTCCCCCTTGTCATCTTACTTTCTAGCCTGAGAGTATTATCATTTGATAAGAGTATTTACTTCTGTGTATTTTGCTAGTTTTCCAGTGCCTGCCTTTCAGGGAAACAAGAATTATTAAAACAGGCATTTTAAGAGCTAGCACAATTCGAGTAACACTCATTAAGCCCTTTAACAACTTTTACGAGTATGAATCTTGAGAGCATCTCTGGGAAATGAAGAGTGACGCAGAACACTGGTTGCCTAGTATACATTAAAAAATCAGAAGCACGGAGAGTTGAAACTGCCTGTTCAAAGCCACATGAGCTAATTGGTGGTAGCACAGAACTGAAAGCCAGATCCTCACATTGTTAGTTGGCTTTCTGGTGCTCTAGGCTGTTATTTTCTGACTGGTGTTGGAACAGTTTTGCATTTACCATTATGGTGATCTTGATGGTTAGACACATTAATGTGGCGTTGCACTGCCGTCATAATTTGGGCTTTGAAATATCTTAAAGGCTGTTGCTGACTTTGATGACAGTTCTGTTTAAATTCGCAGGTGGAGGTCAGTGTTTTCTCTGCATGTAAAAAGTTGATGTAATGCCTTCAGACCCTAGAGAAGCATTGATAATGATCTGAGGGCAGAAACATGTGACTGGGTTTGATGTCAGTGCATTATTGTTAAACATACCTTTGCTCGTCTGTTACACTGGTAACTACTACTTTGGTAACTACTGATGAAAATTCTTCCTCTTCCCTCTCTCCCTGTTTATTGTGGTGGAAAAGATCTCAGCCATCTAAATAATTATGAAAATTGCATGGATATACAATGAAAAGAAAGCTCAAGATGTGAGAAAAATGATGTTTCCTACGTCGGTTGCATTTTGCAAATCCTAAGCAAACACTGCATGAGAAAGAACTATATGACTGTCCTTTTTGTTATGTTGCCCTTAAGGGGAGTTTCTAAGCAGTCAGGGAGTTTCTAAATTGCAGAATTCAATTTGATGTGGTGTCTGTGGATAACTTACTCCCAAATCCTGAAAAAAATTTCCCTTTATTTTGGCCTCTCAAAAAGGTCTACCATACTAAATGGAAAATGCATTCAATTAAGCAGAGGGACAGATGTGCATATAAGTCTGTGGTGTGGAATACATTCTACTTTGAACTGACATGGATTTAAACATTTAAAAAAAGGTATTTATAACCTTGGGAGACTGAAGGTAATAAAATCCAAAGCAAGTCTGGGGAGGTTTTTAATCTGAATTAAGCAAGTTTAAGCACACAAGTAAGTTTTATTCCTTGAAAATACTTTTGATTTATGATGTAATGTATGTAAAATTTGATTTACAAAGGACTTCTTTTCCCCTTAAATCAGGGCAATATGTAGTGGAGCACTGCTGACTGGCTGTTAAATATCTGATTGTAATTTGTTCTCTGGCAGGTTCCGACAAGCATCTGGTGGTTTTTCCCTGACAAATGGAGAACTATTTCCAAGCAGAGGCATATAACCTCGATAAGGTTTTAGATGAATTTGAGCAAAACGAAGGTGAGTCATTTTGAACACGATTGAAGAATACATCTAATGTGCATCTACAGAGAACACTGTTGAAAAAGGAGAGATCGGTGGTACCCTTTTTGGTTTTGAGTTGCAAATTAATATCAGAACTTGTGTAAAATTCATGGTGTGTCTTCAGTATTTGTTAGTAGTATTCTCTTCTTTTCCCATTCATCTTGTTTACTTATTTCAAATCTCCCACTCTTTTAATAGAAAATCTTCCATACACTTTTAAAAGAAAGGTTTTGTGAAGCTTAATCTCAGTGGCAATATTTTAATAATTTATTTTAAACATATTAGGCAAAACTTATTTTAAGTTTCTTTTGCAGTTTTGGGAGACTCAAGCATAGAAATGTTTTATTAGGTCACATAAATCATGTAATGAAAGTTATAATAGTTGAACTATTAAATTTTTTGCTTAGTCTAATTACTTCTGTGCTGTCAAGGAAATTGAACATTTTAAGGGAGTGGGAATCTTTCAAGGCATTTCTAGCTGTCTAAAGTATATTAATCGATTGTTTGATGTTGCTTGTGAAAATTCAACTTGATACTAATTGGCGTATCTCTAAACTTCTTGAGTTCCAGAAACATTGTGCAATTACACTACTAATGGTTGATCAAGGATGCCACTTATGGCAGGTGTGTTTTACTGTTGTACCCATATTTGAACATCTCTATGTTTATATTTGGGGCATTCTAATGCAACAGAGTTAATAGAACCTGTAGTGTTAATAGGGCAGTAAGTTCTTTTGTTTAAACACTTTTTCCAGATGCCGCTGTTTCACCTCCACTGTTGGGTGCAAAGTGGAATCAGATTCTAGATCCGCCTTCTCGTCGTCTGTCCGTGGCCAACGTGAATGAAACTACAACTCCTAATGAATGTCAACAGAGATTAAAGTCTTTCTCCTTGTCTCATTCAGTGACTGCACCAACAGGAGGAGAGGATCACTGTGCTAATGGAAAGGATTTTAGCACAAGCCCAGAGACCCCAGTCATGTGGATTGATGATCAGGCAGCAGCAGATGATCAGTTGATTAAAAGAAATCGGGATGATCAGTGTAACACTGTGGAAACCGGAGAAAAGAAATGTGGAAATACAGCTTGCTTGCCAGAGGAGAAAAATGTACTAGTGGTGGCAGTCATGCATAACTGTGACAGAAGAACACTACAAAGTGGCGATTTGCTGGATTGTAAAAATTACACCAGTCAGTCCCTAATGGACACTATTAGCTTTACACTGGATAATGAAAACCGACAGAATGATCAGTTTAGTGTTACTGTAAATGGATCCATGGATAAAGATACAGATACAGAAAAGCAAGTAAATCGGCTGTGCACTGAAGATGACTCTTTAAGTCATTTGATTAGTGCTTCATCTGAAAGCCTGACTGTTGCATGCCCCTCCTCTCGCTTAAAGGATGATTTTAATATGAGTAAAGATTCACTGTTTTCAGAAGCTACGGCTGCAGGGATTAATGCAGTGACTCTCTTACAGAGACCAGTTGATGGTACCGTTAAAATGCAAGAAAACTGTGTATCCGTTGAAAATTTTACTAGTAAAGCCATTCCTCAGAGAACGGATCTGGAAGCTGAAAACTCTTCTTCTGGTTCAAGTAATGGAAACTTAATCGTAGAACAGGAAACAACCCAAGAGTTACAGTCTAGGCTGTTGGGGCTCACCGAAACTTGTCAGCCTAACGTGGCTGGAAGTGGCAATTACAAGGAACATGTTGCAGAACATTTTCCCCCTGAGGATGTTAGTGCCACTGAGAGCGATGTCGTGGATTGTGATAAAAATCTTGGCACAATGGAATCGCTCAGCATGGCAGAGTGTTATCCTGAATCTCAGGAGATGACTGATAGGGAACCGACTAAGTTGAATGAGATGAATAATAAGCAAACTCTGGGAGAGAATGAAAGACTTTTGCAGAAGAAACAGCCTGGTGAGGCACATAGTAATAGTAAAGAAGGTGGAGATGGGATGATGGAGGCAGGCATAGACTTAAAAGGGACTGGTATAGATGAGCTTGAAGGGTCCAGTCTCTCTGATGTGATGGCTACATCAGCAGCAAGCTCTCTGTCTAATGGTTGTGATTCCTATGGAATGCAGAACCCAGTGGTTGCTCATGTTCCAAAGACACTACCCTCCAAGGAAGACTCGGTAACAGAGGAAAAGGAGATAGAGGAGAGCAAGTCAGAATGTTACACTAATGTTTATGAACAGAGAGGAAATGAGACCACAGAAGGGAGCAGTCTTATTTTAAACAGCACTGGTGACCACATAAAGAAAAATTATTTACATAATCTTTGTAGTCAGGTTTCATCCATGCAAGGGCAAACTTCACCAAAACCAGTGACTAATCTGCAATCTATCAGTGTTCCTTTTGGTGGTGCAAGACCTAAGCAACCTACAAATCTCAAACTGCAGATTCCGAAGCCATTATCGGACCACTTACAAAATGATCTTGTTCCCCCAAATTGTGGAGGTAATAGTAAAAACAAAAACGTCTTTGGTAAGACTCAATTAGGGGTTACAGCAGACACGTTTCCTGGTGAAACATCTTTAAATGCCTCTGTTACTGATACTAATGGGGAACATTTGGAAGAGTATGAATCTGGAGTCTCTAGTAGTCCGTGCCTTGCAGTAGCCCCAGATAGTCCAGATAATGATCTCAGAGCTGGTCAGTTTGGAGCTCCAGCCAGAAAGCCTTTTACGACTTTGGGTGAGGTGGCTCCAGTTTGGGTTCCAGATTCTCAAGCACCAAACTGTATGAAATGTGAGGCCAGATTTACATTCACCAAAAGAAGGCATCATTGCAGAGCTTGTGGGAAGGTAAGTTTGTGTTTTGTGAGTTAGCTCAAAGCGCCCTTTTTTTTTCTGATACTGCATAAAATCAAATCAGAGGACTTCCTAAGCCACTGTTTATAGTTACTGGTAACATGTCTTCCTAAAAATCGGTGCTTGATTTGTGAAGGTAAAAAAGGAGGTTCTAAGCTCTATTCAGGATTCTGATAGAGAACAATTAATTGTTATTTGTAACTGAAAGAATATTTAGCCTGTACGAGCAGTGTATCTGTTGATTGCCACAATCAACATCATTGGATTAATGTAGAACTGCTGTAACACAGCTGAGTGCAGGAAACCAGTTTGCAGAAATTACTGCATCAATAATCCCATTAAAGATACTGAAACATATTGTTGGGGATTGGAAGTGTGCTGCTGAATTGTTGGTGTTCCTGCTGGTTTAGGTGGCAGATCAACTCTGTCTGTTAAGTCTTCTTTCTTCTATTGCTTACATTGTTTTAAGGAATATACATGTGCTCCTGGGGAAAAAAAATATACTAATTTATCTGTAATTTGATATATGTACAGATGGTGAGAACATTTGTAATGAAGACAACGAAAACATAATTTCTGTATCATTTTGTGTTATGTAAGAAATATTTTATTGTTGATTTTTTTTTTTCCTTTTAAAGTTTTATATATGTGCCATCTAGGTCAACAAATTCTTATGTTTGGCAAGTTTATGGTAAATGGTTAGTTTGTGAAGTATTTCCAAATATTTTGTTACTGAAATACAAGTCAGTGCACATGGGAAGTAGGAGCTTAGGAACAAATCTGAGGATTCAAAAGTGGTAAACTAACACTCTTGTCAAGTAGATGAATATTAAAAATATTCATTATGATGAACAGAAATAGTAAAACCCACTAAAAACTAGAGTAAAAGTAACTTTGGTTCATTTAGGCCCTATCCAAAGGTCTCTGAAGTTGATTGAAAGACCTCCTGACTGCTATGGGCAAGATCTTTAGCTACCAGAATAATGCAGGGAAGCAGAAAGACTTGAACAAAGGACCTGAAAGGAACAAATGTACCTGGAAAGCTCAAACCCTTATGTCACCTGTTTCTGGAAACAGCCTAGCAGAACACAGGCTTGTTCCCCTGTGAGGGACTGTGTATGTGTGTGACTTGTCCCTTTAGTAACCAAAATGCATAGTGCTCAGTCTCTTCACTGCAACACCAGATAAGTAGATTCTACTCAAATTTCATTGTGAGACATGCTGAAAAATCATTCCCAGGACACTCATTGTCCGCTGGTCCAGGACTACCAGTGGCTTCCTTCTGCCCATCCTCTTGCAGGTTGGTTGCAGTGGAAGTCCTGATGTGGAGCTAGTATCCACAGTCACTCATAACCATCGTGGGAGGTACATGCCTACCTTTTGCTTAATGTCAAAGGGCTCAATCTCTTTCTCATTGCAGTTAAGGACAATCTGTAAGGCATATAAGCTAAAGAAATATCCATCATTTTAGCTTTGAAGTATTAACTTACACTGTCAGTTATTTAGGTCATGCTTTTGTTTTTTATGACTTTAACAAATATGACTACAATTTTCATTTACAGTAATGTGTTCTACTTATATATGTGTTGTAAACAAGTTCGTTGCTTGGATTTGATTACTGCCCTGTAATGACTGAAGCCCTGAATTGCACAAATGAGAAGCAGAAAATGAAAATCTCTGTAAACAAAGTGGATACAGCGTGCCCAGATAGAGCAAGGCCAAACAGTGTGGTGTGGTTTTCTTTTTTTTTGCACTACTGAAAACAAGCCTTGAGAAGAACAACTAGGACGGATTTGGATCAGAAGTTGGGGAATGGGTAAAATACAAGGTTCCCTTCTCTGCAGACAAACTTGTTTCTCAGATGCGAAAAATACGTGTAGAAGTATTTAATATTCTCAGAGTGCTCTTACAATAATCCTCAGAATTACTTGTTTCTAGAAGTTTTTGTTAGCTAATGTGGTCTGGGCCAAATTTGCACATGTGCAGTCAAAACATGTGGCAGAAAATTCTGGTTTTTCATGCCTTCTTTATGTTTTCTTCTCTAAAAAACCTCACTCATTAATAAATGCGAAGAATCAGTATAAGTCAAAGAATACTTAGCACTTACTACAAATTGCTTTACAACACTTAATTCCTGTAACGATTCTGGGAGGAAGGAGACCAGAGGCTTTGATGGGCAAGCTTTGATGAATCTAACTGTAGTGGTTTGAGACATCACCTTTCTCAGCTGGCTGCTCTTGCTTTCTGGCTAAGAGAGCCACCCCCAAAGCAAGTCATGTTGGTGTAGGTAACATGCCAGTGGTGTAGGTAGCTACCGAACCACAGTGACGCTTCCACTGTTTCTATTAAATGTATGAATACCTCTTAAGGAACTGGGGAGATGATGTCTTCAGCTCTTGCAATTAATTGTTTCTAGGGGAAGTCATGGAACTGAATCTTTCTGAATACAAGCTTTAGCACAACAATTTCTTTTTAAGCTTTATTAGCATCATGACAAATCATTATTGTAGTAGGGATGAATGTATCTCATTTGGGAATGAAAATTGCATTTAAAAATAGTTGAGTGGCACCTGGGAAGTCTGTCTCAGTTTTTAATTTCAGGATAATAATTGCAAAATTAATGGAAGGTATGAACCTCAGGGGAGTGGTAGAAAGTAACACACTTAGAGTAAGTTTTGAATTAAAATTAAGAACCTGAAGAATATGTGTGAACACATTCATAAATTTTACATTTTGTATTTCCTATTGTCAGATGAAACAATCATCCTTGACAGGAAGACCAGAAAAATCTCTATGTCACTTTTTTATTGACAACCAAATTTATAATTGTTCCATTAAAATATAAAGAAATCACCAACCCCCCCTAGCAACTAATGTTTTAATGACTCCTGGTGAACCTGAAAACCCTAGTAACGGAAAAACTTGCTCTGACACTGCTATGTTGGTTTTTTATAGCATGATACACGGAGATAATGACTTGGTGGTCGTTCATAACTAGACTGAATTGTCAGTTGTGCTGGACTGTATTCTTCCTCTGTGTTGCACCCTAAGAGGGGACATGTTTTAACATTTAGATCGTTGCACTTGGGAGCTTTGCTGAATGTACAGTGTGGTGTCTGATAAAGGGTCCTAAATCAGATATTATATGGCTGAAGACATTGATTTTTCCATGTTCAATACTGAACTTCTGACTGGAAATTTCTCCTGGAGAACTGAAATGATGTCAAATGTCTCTAAGATACGCTGTGTTGTTGTTATTCATATTCCCTAGAATGCTGTAAATTGGGTTAAGGTGTAAATGCAGAAGTCAAATTTTTGAAGTACTTTTTTTTAAAAAAAAAAAGGATTTTCACAGTGGTGAAAGGGTTGGTTTTATTTTTGCGTGAAAATGCCAGTCTGTTCACAGTTATATTTTATTTCTGAAATGTTTAAATTGACATCATTAGGAAACATTAAAATTAGTTGAAATGAGACAGGGGGAGCTCTTCTGTCTTCACATTCAATTTTCAGCTCTCACAGTGAACTCGGAGCTTATTTTGTATGTCCTTATTTTAAGCATTTGCCACTGTAAGACTGGAAAAGTAACAGGCTGCAAAGTCGTCATAATTTGGTGTGATCTTTAACTTGGCTGAAATTTAGTTAGGCTTACGTATATCTACATTTGAAAGTCCTGTGAGTTTCTTGTCTATATTACAGAAATATGTCTGTTAAAGTGATGATGGAATAATGTTTTGGATTAAGAAAGCATTACAGCTCATAATAATGCATAGGGAATTGTAGATATCCACATATAATTGACATTTGAAATTCCTCTTGATATCTGCACTCATTTGTTAGGTAACTGCTGCTGTTTCTAGATTCCCTGAGTGTGACATTACCTTTCTGCATGAAATGGGTATTCATCACTGTCTTCACATGTCACCTCAGTAATAACTCTTGAGGAAATACTGGTTTTTTAAACTAATAAAATACAATTCTTTAAAGCAAATAAGAAATCAGGGCACCCTGATTTGTCTGTTCTGCAGGATTTTGTGATTGCAATTGCTATTGTAGGATCATATCTGCATGCAAGTGTTTGTTCTGGTGCACAAGCCATGCTCATGTTTCATGGTTTTGCTTGTCTGGAGGAAGCCTCAACACTGTCTCCTGCCCAGGACTGGGGAGTTGTTAGAGCTGGTTCAGGTGAGAAGCACTGGCAGTGCAACTGCATCTCCGCAGCAGGTCGTCCTCCCAGGGATTTTGCACCGGATCCCTGCTTAGTAGCCGGCATGCGTCAAATGCAGTTCCTGATTCCTCTCTAGTGTTGTGATGCTACAGTGTTTGTAATTACGTAAATACGGGCTTTTTTGTGTGTGTATATATATATATAAATGGAGCAAGGTTTTCTTGCAGTACCAATGTCATTCAGCTTTTTTAAATGTCTTGTGTATGTTGAACTCTTAAAACATTTTGATACATCACTTCACTTAAGTGTCAGGTGGGGAGTAACTTGTTATATATGGAGAGATTAAATAGCTAGAGTTGCTAATACAGATGAATTGCCCTGCTGCAAATAAAAATGTGTTGTTTGAATTACTCTGTGCCACAGAAATCTCTTCATGTGGAGAAAACTTGGGCATGTAAACGTAGTTGATTCTAGAAAGTACTCATGCTTTTTCTAAGACTGAAATTAATTTCAAGTTGTTAATTCTGTGAGGGATTGTAAAGTGGTAGGAATTTATTAACCTGTTGTCATTTATGCCAAACATATTTTAAAAACCCCACTGTTCAGTATCGGGACAAGATGCATTATGTGTTCCATGTAACACTGCTTCATCAGGATTAGTGGGAAAGACACCCTGGGCAGCTATTAGTCACTGTGGCTTTAATGGGAAAATACTGATAATTTACCTGCCTATTTTGCATGTGTAGAGCTTTACAGATATTCTCTTGTCCGAATTTACCAGTTCATCCCATGTTTTTGAACAACACTTAAGTTGTTTCCCGTTCGGTTCCAGGTTTTTTGCGCGGCATGCTGCAGCCTGAAGTGCAAGTTGCTGTACATGGATCGGAAGGAAGCTAGAGTGTGTGTCATCTGCCATTCAGTACTGATGAATGGTGAGTGCAAAGAGAATCTGCGATGCACTGCTTCACTGGGTTTGTGTTGAGCTGCAGTGGTGCTGTTTAAAAAGGCACTAAACTTCATTTGTGTGCGTAAGTATTCTGAACAGAGAAGGTCCTTGAGAGATCAGTGGGGAAGCCCTGTGCAGAGTGGGGATTCCTAAACTAACTACGATTAACAAAAGGCACAAACTGGTAAGGTTGCAGCGGATTTGAAAGCTTTCATTTGTGAGTGCTGTACCAGGATTGCAGAAACCGTGATATTTTGGTGTTTGGGGGTTTTATTTACTTTTAATTCAGGAGCCTACTCTCTGTCCTTTGATGCCTGAGTAGAATCTTCTGTATGAGATGCCATAGGGGAGAGTTACCTCTTCTAGATAATGCACTACAGGGAATTAGGAAGTAGTGTTTATCCACAAATCCATCCCACTCTTCTTCCTCCTTAACTCCTTTGTGCTTGAGTCTTGTCTAAAAACCTGCCTGCAGGTGTGGACAATGGAGTTTGGATTGTTGTTTTGGGCATGTTACTGGAGGGTCTTGTCAAACCCAGGATGGTGCTGTGGCTACAAGCCTGATGTGAACCTGGGACTTAGGAGAGGTCACAGGAATTAGAAATTTACAAGTAGAACACACAAGTTATATTACCTTTGTTCAGTGTAAGGACAGACTGTCCAATACCCTTTGGTATTGACCAAAGGGCCATGGAATCTATTTTGTATTTTGTACTTTATAGTATTAACACTTTAGGTATGTGGTATAAATATGGGCAAACACAGAGTATTCTTCTCACTGTATATTGAGGCTACAGAAAATTTCAAGAACTTCTGAGCTGGCAGTTACCTTTGGGTGATTCTGCTGTCCAATTGGCCTGCTTCCATGGCACTGAGATGGCTATTGCTGAAAGACTTGATATGCAGTTTTTGTCTTGAATTGAGAAGGTAGAAAAATAGAATTAGGTTGAGAGAGGATACATGCTTAATCATGAGAAAACCTGTCTCATCCTGAGAAATTCCGGCCATTCTGTCTCAGGTTTATTAATGGAAAGGTGAATAGGTGACTTGATCTCAGAGTATAAATATATATCTGGATAACGGAAATTTCATGGCAGAAGTTCCCTCAGCTGTAGAGGAAGGTCTGACACACTCCAAGGTATAGTGGGTAGGATGAGAAGTCGGCCAAATCCAGGTTCTAAATGCAAACCTTAACCATCAGGATTACTAACTATCCTGATAATTATTGAACAGTTCTCATGGAATCTCCATTGCTGCAAATGCTTAGTTAAACTTTGGAGACTTTCATACAAAATTGCTGCTGTAGTTTTAACCAAGAACTAGTAAGGAGAATTCTGGTTTATGTCAACATTCAGACAGGCGATTTTGACGTGTCTTTACGTGTACTGTATAGTAGATGATTTAGGCTGCTGTTTTTGGAAAGATCTGTTAATTTGTTGAGCATCTACCTAAATGTAGAAGCTCATAGCTTTATTTATTCTCCAAAGAAGTTGAGTATGACACAGATTTGGTTGAAAGTAACTGAGTGCTTAGTCTTGAGGTGAGCATGCATCATTATTAGACAGTTTCTGTTATTAAACAGGAATAATTTTTTTCTGTTTCAAAAAGATTAATCAGTGCAGTGCTAGGTTTTAATTATTAATAATTCTTTACTGTAGGCCAAATGTGGAAGGTGATAGGAAATTGTAAGTTGTAATATCTAGAAATTAAAACTGAGTCCTAATGATGACCTTGAAGGGGTGCTAAAGTGTTATGTTTTGATATGGAGAAGTTAGCACATTTCAAGGTGTACAAGAACGAGGAATTACACATACACCTGGCAAAAGACAGCTGGCTCCTTTTGGTGGTGAGTAGGACTTGTTTTCATCTGGGGGAAGGGAAGAATCTGAAAATATTTCAGTTGAAACCAGAAGTGTTCTTGTAAAAAAGCATAATAAAATTGATTATATTATAATGATTTCCTTTTAAAAGCCTTTCTGTCCTGCTGCCAGGACAGACACACATTAATGACAGTGAACAGTGACACCACTGCTTGGTTTATAATAGGGAGAGAGCCGCCTGCATACTTAGGTGTACTTGCCTGGGGCTACCTCTCTGTTTCTATCCTTGCTGCAGTGCTTTGTGATGATGCTTTTGATTACTGGTTAGTTAACCTGTAGCCTGACTGTATCTGATCCTTCCTGATCCATGCAGTTTCTTTGTTGGTACAGCTTTTTGGGGTTTTTCCACTTGGCGCAGCAGGTTAAGCATTAATCTTCACAGAGTCTTGGAATCAGGGACAGGATTTGCACTTTAAAAGTGGTTATTTCATTTGGTTACTTCGTATCCGGTTTGTGTTTCACTGGGATGTTGGAGGAGGGTTATATGTTTTCTGGCACTTTTCCGTGGCCAGGCTATGTGTTTAATAAGTTTCCAATGCTATTTTTACTGTATTTTCAATTGGTAGATATGCTGAGTTGTCACTTTGCTTGATTTAGAGAAAGCTTTAAAAATGTTCTTTTACCATGCTATAATTTTTCTAATAAAGGGATCCTAGAGATGTAGCTTTTATTTGTACATTTTTAACACTTCCTTCTTTCAGGACCTGTACTCTAAAGGAATACAGAATTGCTATTAAATAATACTTCCATTTAATTCATCTTCTCAAATGGAAATCTTAATACCTTTTCCATCTGCATGCATTTCATCTTCTTGGTTTTGCAGGTTGATGGGAGGAAGCAGCAGGGGTTTATGTTCTGCTGTGATCTGTTTGGGTTTTCTGAGTCTTTTTCTTTTCACTTTGGTTTTCTGATAGTTCATAGCCAAAGGAACCCAAAGATATACATGATTTATTCAGGCTTTATAGCTGCTCTGAGAGCTTAGGTGGCATGCCATTTATGCCCGACTAGAGGGATGCATTTATTTGTAACACACTAATATGGTTGAAGGTGCAAGCGGACATACGAATTTTCTGGTACCTTATATAGCTACAAGCCATCCTTACAGATGAAAAAGAAGTAGTGCTGTGGAGATACAGTCTGTTTCACTAGCTAGAGGAGAGATTCCCCTGTGATGGATGTTGTTGACAAAGAAGTTTTGTGTGTTGTTGTTTGGCCAGTTGAATTAAGGCTCAAGTCATGCCTTCAGAATTAATAGCATAAGAGGTTTTTTCATAGTTAAGAATGTAAATTGTTGACCTGTACTGATCTGCCCCGGCTATAAATAAATACAAGGTGCCTTTTCTCATGTACAAAAGATAAATCTGCTCATGTGTCCTGTAGGTTATAAAACATTTGTAATACGGATGTCCATCTGTCCCTACAATATGATAAATACATATATAAGAATTGAGTGGTTTAAGTTAAATCTTTGAAGAAGAAACAAAATGAAGCATGAGAAATGAAGTGTCATTCAGGTCAATGTGTATTGTTATAATTTTTTAAATATTTAAAATGACCTGATATTTTTATTGCACAGGACCAGTGCTGTTTCTCCTGCTGCTATGCATTTTCTTGCTTAATTACAGTCTTCTGGGCTTTGAAATAAAGAAAGAGATATTTTTTTTTGGAAGGTGGCAGAGTCCATACTTTCTGTAGCTGAGAACTTAACAGTGTGTTTTGGACTTTTAGATACCTTCCTCTGTGCTCATGTTTCTTGTTCTTTGTTTGCTTTAGCTCAAGCCTGGGAGAACATGATGAGTGCCTCAAGCCAGAGTCCTAACCCTAACAATCCCGCTGAATACTGTTCTACTATCCCTCCTTTGCAGCAGGCTCAGGCCTCGGGCGCCCTGAGCTCTCCGCCTCCCACTGTCATGGTACCTGTGGGAGTTTTAAAGCATCCTGGAGCAGAAGGTAGGACTACTTCTTTTTTCTTTCAATTTACCTGTAGTGAGAATTTGGAAAGAATATCTGCATCGAATACTCTAGATACTGCTGTTTGTGACATTCTTGCTCTCAGTAGGGACGACAGGTTTTTAAGAACAAGTAAACTACTCTCAGCAGATGTGTTTATATGGGATGCTGCCATAGGGAATGTACTTGATGATGTCTTAAGTCCCTTCCACTCCATGTTTCTCTATGAATTTTTATGGTTTGCTCTTCTGTACTGAAATTTTCCAGTCAATGTTACTGTGAGATCTTAAATCCTATCTTCTTTGTTCTCTCTAGTGGCTCAACCTAGAGAACAAAGGCGTGTTTGGTTTGCTGATGGGATATTGCCCAATGGAGAAGTTGCTGATGCAGCAAAACTGACAGTGTCTGGGACAACTTCCACAGGAACCTTAGCAGTGTCGCATGACCCATCAAAGCCCGTGACCAACAACACTTTATCAGCAGAAGTAAGGAAGCGTTACGCTATTCACCGCTCAAAAGACCGTGCTAGCTTTGGTTGTGAATAGGATATTAGCTTCTGTGGAGATTTCAGTAAGATTGACCTAGGAAATCTGTTCAGGCTTGTCTCAGTATGTTGTATCACAAGTGTCGTCATTTATAGTAGTGTTTGCAGAGTGCTGAAACAACCATATATTTTGAACTGAAATGAACTATTCTGAGGCAGAGCACTAAGCAGTGTTTTAAGTCTGTGTGCTAGGTGGCTGCCAAGTGTTGGCTGTACAGCCTGTGTACGAAGGAAATTTGTATAATGCATATTTTAAAAGAGCTGAGTCATGGTCAGTAACCTGTCATTCTGTCATAGAATCACAGAATGGTTTGGGTTGGAAGGGACCTTAAAGATCATCTAGTTCCAACCCCCCTGCCATGGGCAGGGACACCTTCCACTAGACCAGGTTGCTCCAAGCCTCATCCAGCCTGGCCTTGGACACTTCCAGGGAGGGGGCATCCACAGCTTCTCTGGGCAACCTGTCGCAGTGCCTCACCACCCTCTCTGTGAAAAACTTCTTCCTGATATCTAACCTAACCCTCCCCACTTTCCATTTAAACCCGTTACCCCATGTCCTGTCACTACAGGCCCTTGTAAAAAGTCCCCCCCAGCTTCCTTGTAGCCCCCTTCAGGTACTGGAAGGTGCTATAAGGTCTCCCTGGATCCTTCTCCTCCAGACTAAACAAGCCCAACTCTCTCAGCCTGTCCCCATGGCAGAGGGGCTCCAGCCCTCGGAGCATCTTCGTGGCCTCCTCTGGACTCGCTCCAACCAGTCTGTGTCCTTATTTTCAAGGTCCCACAGCTCGACGCAGTACTCTGGGTGGGGTCTCACGAGAGCAGGGTATAGGGGGAGAATCACCCTCCAAGTTAATCACCCTTGTCATAGCGTGAAGCAGAAAAAGGCTTTGTTTGACAGTTCTCAAAAATGATGCATGCAGGAAAGTGCAGGTGCAACCTAGCAATGTTAAACCCACCATACCCCATGTGAGTGGAATGGAGACTTTGCAGAAAGTTCAGATGGGCATAGGAACATTTAGATTTTGTAAAGAAATGGGTGTATGTGAAGGGTGTAGAGAAGGGAGATGTGGGCTTTTTAGTTGTAGTTCACATACAGGAGTCATCACATGATCATCTGTTTGTTAAAGAGCCAAATTACTCTCTGGTGCTGGTTCTCCAGCAGACAAGAGACTCCTTCACCTACATCTAGTAATCTCCTCAGCCAGCTCTTAGATTTTTATCGTTACTACTGTTGTAATGTTGTCCTTTCTTGTTGTTTGCTTCTTGCAGACTGATAATGCTTCTGTATTCTCGGGAAATATAACTCAGGTTGGCAGTCCTGTTGGCAGTGCAATGAATCTAATTCCTGAAGATGGTCTTCCTCCAATTCTCATCTCCACTGGAGTAAAAGGAGGTGAGGGTCTGATTTGGCAGCTAGCACTTAGCCGTTGCAATTAACCTAATAGTTACTGTGTTTATTTTAAAAATAAGATGCTGCCAATATGCTGAATATTTGAAGAAATTCACAGTAAGTACTCGTGGCTAAATGTTGGGACACACATTTGCACCACTGGTCATCAGTAGTATCCAGGAAGAATCCCATCTTTCAGTGGAATTACTGTAAGAAGTAAAACACAAAGCAAAAAAAAATTAACTTCAGTCCAGAAATATGTGCTAATTTCTTCACTAATCGGACTGTGGGGAATGTTTCACACAGAGATACATTTTAATTAGCCTTATGAATATTCATGTTTCCCTTCTCTGGAATTCTCTTGGAACATCCACTCCTTTTGAGGCATACCCGAGCACTGCTTTCAGCAGCACTACTGCACATCTTGGCCCACAGTGAAGCATTTAGTAGTTGTGATGTCCCCTCCTAGACTATCCAAATGGAGGAGGATTCAGAAAATCAAAAACTAATTTTTAAAAGGTTAAAAAAAAGTGTGTATTTGTTTATCTGGCAGTTGTTTTCCACAGTCTGATTCATTACATCTTTAAAACATTCCTGGGATTAACTTATTTTTTCACCTTTGATTTTTTTTATTCCTGTTAAATATTTTGCTGATACAGTGCATTTCTAATGTTAAGCTGGAAGTAACCTTTTACTGCAGGATAGTGTCAAAACCAAAATGTGAGCAGCATGTAATTTCAAAACAAATCTGTTCCAGCCTGTGTTAGCTGTTCATGTGGGTGCCTGATTATTCAGTCTCCTCCACAAAAAAAGGAGTGAAACTACAGTATACTTTTCAGCTTTTATATCAACAACCTCACATAAATCCTGTTTTGTATGCTAAGTTGATTTTGTTTCATATGCTGTCACATACTGGATTTTCTTTGCTGCATTTTACTTCTGATATTCTAATTATGTTTAAAAAGATTCCAAAACCATTTTTCACTTTAGAATGCAAAATTACTTTTCTTCCTAGATAATTTTAACTGGAAACGTAATGCATTTCTTTCAAAATCTGTTTTCATCTGTATAACTATTTTTGTTAAAGCTTAAATGCATAGTAGATTAGTCACATGGATGAAAAATTCCAATCTGCTAGTCAACTGGGTCTGATCACTACACCCATTTTACACTGGATTTAGACACTTTATGAATTATAAAAAATTCTGGTTTATATAGTGTTCCCTCATTTGTTATCTTCCTAGTAGCTAATGCACAGAAAGTGTAAGTTACGTGGCACAGGGGTAGACTATGTGTTGGTGTTTGTAGTCCAGGATCGATGTTCTTGTGCTTTACTGTGATATAAATAACAGTTGTTTACGTCTTTGTCACTTGGGATTTCAGTTGACACCATGGCAAATTTCTCAATTTGATTTCCAATTTCTCCTCCAGTTGATACCAAAAAACTGTTGATTTATAAAACAAGCTGCACTTCCCTGTAGGATGTACAGGGGTTACGTACATAAACACTATGGAAATTCGAAAATACCAGCCTAGGAAACAGTCAATCAGTCAAACCAGCAATACTTCAGGAAGTTTTTCTAAAAGGTCAAAAAACCACCAGAATCTGGGTTATCTGATTGTAACGTAGAGTACTGTACCACTACGTTGAGGACTGCACTGTGTGTTTGCTTGTTTCTTTCACAGACTATGCTGTAGAAGAGAGACCTTCTCAGATCTCTGTCATGCAGCAGCTGGAGGACGGTGGCCCTGACCCTCTCGTATTTGTTTTAAATGCTAATTTGCTGTCCATGGTAAAAATAGTAAATTGTAAGTTTTTATTATTAAATAAGGCTTGGGGTATGAGGGGGAAATGTTATGTATACTATTAGAAGGAACAGTAGCATTTTTATTTGGTAGGATAGCCTCTGAAAATATGCATGGATTGAAAACTCTATACTTAGCCATATTAAATTATAAAAGGCTCTTTTCCAGTGCTTTAGATATCAGTACAGATAATTTGTGCAAAAAAGATAAACTAGACTGTTAGAGCCTCCAGTCTCAGATGCGGAGATCAGTGTCTCCTATCTGACTTGATAGGGCAGGGTATTTTATTGCTCATTCTTCCTTTGATTGCTTAACTCATTTCCCTGTCACCCCTTTCTGGAGAAAGCAGACAGGATCCCACAGTAACACACCGTTTCTGCTCTGCTGTGCATCTCTTCTATCCTTTTCTGTACTGCACGTGTGTGTGTCTGTGTGTGTACATGTGCTGGGGGAGAGAGGAATGCCAAGATTTGACTGGGGGCTGTAATGTTCTGGCTCCTCCTTAGCTGTGAACTGGGAATTACTGAACTGCTTTTGTTGTGGATGTGTTCGCTTGCAAGGTAAGGGATTTAGAACCTAATTTGTGTGTGTGACAGAAATCACAACCAAACATGCTGTAAGACTGATTATTGAAAGAGCTATCTTCCTGCAGTGAAAGTTAGGCATATTTTATGAAATTCTGGTCTTCTGTTCTGATAGATGTTTCCCTCTCTGCAGATGTGAACAGGAAGTGCTGGTGTTTCACTACAAAAGGCATGCATGCAGTGGGGCAGTCCGAGATAGTCATTCTCTTGCAGTGTTTGCCTGATGAGAAATGTTTGCCTAAGGATATCTTTAACCATTTTGTGCAACTTTACCGGGATGCCTTAGCAGGTAGGAATGCTCTCTGTTAAAAATTGTTTGGGTAGGTGGTCATATTGGGTCAGATATGGCTTTTGTCCTTTAGTGAATGGCTGTTTTTGTATAAAAGAATATAAAAAGAGAATAAGGATCAAAGCTGAGAGGAGGCTGAGTTGTTATTGGTTATTAGTATCCAGTGTATATTCATCTCACCAAATAGAAGTATTAATGAGGTGCTGGGGAGCTGCTCCAGAGATTTTCCAGCCTTCCTCTGGGTGCCCGGAGAACAAAGTAGTGTGGGCTGAAAAGGCCATGCATAGACTGTTACAGCAGTGGAGCAGGAGGACTCTGCCTGTGACAACTTTGTGTTCAGCAGCCGTTGCTGAGCGTCTGCTCTGGCTCCTGCTAGGCGCTGGGTAAGAATTTGACTTTGGCTGACGTTATCTGGTGTTAGTACTGTACTTCAGTTAGCAGGAAGTGTAGTAGGATGCTCAGCAGGGCTCATGAGTACACTAATGACATTGCTTCTAATCAGTTTGTGTTTCAGCTTGAAGTCAGCGTAGCTTTTTTAAAGATACAGAAAGAAAATATTGAGAATTTTGGTGGATACTCTGTTAAATACCCCCAAACCAGGTAGTTCAGAAATTTGATTCCCCCAGCATGTGTGCCTATTGCCACGTTATGGAGATACTATTTCTGTTCTAAAGTAGTACAGACATAAATGTACCTGTGTGCCTGGCATGAATTCTGGGGCACTGCAGAAATTATCCCCCAGTTTTGAATTTTAGTATCTCAGTTGCAAGGTTGTATTACTTAAACCTTTACGTGTTTCACATTAGCTGAGTAAATGGGCTTCCACTAGTAGCTATTGTTGGACTTTGTCTGCCTGGTTCAGAAAGTACTGTTATCACATGTCATAGTGGATCTTGTACACTGGAAACAACCACCTTTCCAAACCTCACTTCACTTGCCATGCTTTATCTTCTAATTATGAAGTTATTCAGAGGGAGATAGATATGAAAAACTGTGTGTGTGTATATATATATATATTGCAGCTATAAATCCAGCTTGGTGTATATATTGTGATGAAGTTCTGTATAATTACACTACAGAAATACATAATTTATAACTCCTACATAATGTATTTGGAATTCTTTTTTTAGTGCTCTAGTGGTAGTAATTTGATATCCTACAATAGCACTGTGCAAAGAGCTGCTTGCTATTGTACAATTCTTAACCAGAACCCAAATTTCACTGTTCAGGAGCTCCACTCCATAATGTTCTTCTGGTAGGATTTGCTCTGCTGCATTTCAGACACGTAGTAGAAATAGATAGGCACTTTGAGTTGCTGTATGATACCAAACCACGCTGACGTTTCTGCAGAACCTAGCACCTTGATAAATTCCCATGGCATTTTGTAATGCACGCTCTCAATATCCATCCTTTTTTCTTTCCAGGTCATGCGTGTTAGAGAGGGAGAAGTGTATTTTAGCGTATTTGCAGCCCTGGCTGTTCTAGACATTACTGAGCCAGAGAGACAGGATATGATGCTGTAGGGGTTTCAGCTGGTGGCTGCAACCCCTTGGAAGTGGTTAGCAGTTGGCATGCTGTTGCAGATGGAGCCACGCTTCCAAACTTGTTCATTTCAGAGGTACCACACCTCTCCTGGCGATCAGCTGATAGGCACTTAGAGTAAAGGAGAATTCCCATCAGAAGCTAGAGACTGCTTAAAACCTTGCCTCACGCTGTCATTTCTCATTGCATAATATATTGGTTTAAATTTATTTTGCCATCAGGAAACTGAAGTGACTTCTGCGGATGTTTTTTATTTATCTACTTCAGTAAATATTTTGTGGAAATCAGTCATAAAATAAAAAGACAAATATAATTTTTTTAATTGGAATGGAAGCAAGAATTACGTTTAAGTGATGTTGATTTTGTTTTGATTTTGGGGTTTCCTGTTGGTTTTGCTTTCAGCTGAAAAATACAGCATTCTCCTTTTGTTTATTTAATTAAAGCCCATATATATAGCAATTTTTTTTTTATGAGTCACATGTACTTACTAGCCCTTTTTGCTCAAGTTTGAGTTCTGTGTTCAAGCCTAGAAGCATAAACCTGCGTGTGCCTCTTCCCAGATGTTTCGGCTTTCCTCAGATGATAACCCGAGGCCAAGTCCTGTTGTCTGTGCCAGCTCCATTTGCGGAGCATGGTTCTAGCACGAGCAAGTAGCGGCAGCACAGCCCAGGCCTCGGACCTGCGGGCAGGAGCAGCTAGGCTGCACGCCCAACGCTCTGCAGCTTGTCCTTCAGGTTCACCTCCTGTTTCAGCATGGGTGCCATGTCAGCCTGGTACAGCACCGCCCTGAACCTGCCGTCGTTTTCTTAGGGGAAGTCCTCAACCTCAAGCTTTGGTCTGGTGTTAGGATGTTAGAATTGTAAAACAGTGCAGAGATTTTGAAGGAAAAATGGCTTTTTTCACTGTAGGTTTTATACATGTGAGTTATAGTAAAATGTAGAGTTGTTCGTTAAGGCAAGTATCAATTACTGCTCAGTTTCCATCCCTTTATTTTTCCTCTGGCCCCTCTGTCATCAAGCTCTCCGCTGTGTTGCTTTTCTTGTTTTGAAACTGAAAGCTAATGATTTCTGTTGTGGTTGTAGTAGTTGTACTGTTGGAGTAGTAATCCCATGATTATCCTTGTCTGTTGCCTGTAAGCCTGGCAGGAGGTCTAGTGAATGGAGAAATGAGAACTTCTGTCCGTCTGAATGGGCACTTTGTAGCAGTTGGATGTGTTAATACAGAGCCGCCAGATATGCCCTAGTGCATCAACTCTTTTGTGGAATACAATAAATGCAATTGTTACGTTTGTAGTGAAAATGCAAATCTGGCAACTGCTTGAAATGGCTTTGTAATTGCCCTGAGCATTGGGTTTGCAGGGTAAGGTTTTAGTAGCGGAGGGGGCTACAGGGGTACCTGCTGTGAGAAGCTGCTAGAAACTTCCCCTGTGTCCAACAGAGCCAATGCCAACTGGCTCCAAGACAGACCTGCTGCTCACCAAGGCCAAGCCCGTCAGTGATGGTGGGAGCACCTCTGGGATAACATGTTTGAGAAGGGGGAAAAGAAAACTGCAACTGCAGTGAAAGAGAGGAGTTAGAATGTGTGAGAGCAACAACTCTGCAGACACCCAGGTCAGTGGAGAGGAAGGGGGAGGAGGCGGCTCCAGGTGCCAGAGCAGAGATTCCTTGGCAGCCATGGTGCAGATCATGCTGAGGCCGGCTGTGCCCCTGCAGCCATGGAGGGTCATGGTGGAGCAGAGACCCACCTGCAGCCAGGGAGGACCCCATGCTGGAGCAGGGGAATTTCTGTAGAAGGCTCTGACCCCATGGGCAGCTCACGCTGGAACAGGCTCCTGGCAGGAGCTGTAGCCCCATCGAGAGAGTAGCCCAGGCTGGACAGGTTTGCTGGCAGGACTTGTGACCCCGGGGGGACCTTGGCTGGAGCAGGCTGCTGCTGAATGAGGCTATGATCCTGGCGGGGGGACCTATACCAGGTCAGTTTGTGAGGAACTGCAGCCCGTGGGAAGGGCTCGTGTTGGGG